TACCTCTCGACCGGAACCTTTAACTGACGCCCCTCCACGTAGCCCCATACTAACCCGACAACTGACCGGTACCCAACAATTAAAACATTATCAGATGCCTCTTCGTCTGAATCCTGGGTCAGCCTATATCGATGCCGCAGGTCAAATGGCACATGCTGACCCAGTCTTCGTATATGTCCCGTTCACGACTACCGATCTCTTGAATTGGAAGACCCACAATTCCTCGTACACTGAGAAACCACAAGCTATGACCGATCTGTTCACCTCGATAGTTCAGACACATAACCCGACATGGGCTGATTGCCAGCAGTTATTAATGACATTGTTCAATAATGAGGAAAGGACAAGGATTAACCAAGCGGCCATTAAGGCGCTAGAGGAGAGAGCCCGTGCTTTAAATCAAGCCAATCCGGCAGCATGGGCCGCAACACATTACCCTAACACCGATCCTGACTGGAATGTAAATGGCGCAGATATGGCTCAACTTAAAGCCTATAGAGATGCTATAATTGCTGGCATGAAAGCCGGAGGGAAGAAAGCTATTAACATGTCGAAGACAGTTGAGGTGATTCAGAAAAGTGATGAAGCGCCCAGTGTCTTTTATGACCGATTATTGGAGGCATACCGCTTGTATACCCCCTTTAATCCGGAAGACGCTGATAATTCCCGAATGGTAAACTCCGCCTTTGTCAGCCAAGCTTACGGAGATATTAAGCGCAAGCTACAGAAATTAGAAGGGTTTGCAGGTATGTCTATCACCCAACTAATGGAGGTAGCGAACAAAGTATATATGAATAGGGAAACAGAAAGTAAGAAAGAGGAAGAGCGCAAGATGCGTAGAAAGGCAGATATGCTAGCGGTAGAGATCGCAGGCGTAGATAGACGGGGCCCAGATAGAGGCGATGGTAGATGGAATAGGGAGCCTTTGAGTAGGAATCAGTGCGCGTACTGCAAGGAAGAAGGGCATTGGAGGAACGAGTGTCCGCAAAGAGAGACTTACCCAGGGCAGGTTACGGAAACTTTAGAGGCAGAGCGAGAGGTAGAGGAGGCCCCGGAGGGAGTAATGGTGATAGAGGGAGTAATGGGAACAGAGGAAGTGTAAGGGAAGATAGGTACTATCCAGCAGCGCAAAGGTCCCGCGATAGAGAAGGTAGGGACTTTGTGGGATTGGCTGACACGGTCATGGAGGACTATTGATACCGACCGGGCTCCATCCCCCTTGGTCGAGCGGAGCCTATGGTCGATGTATCAATAGGGGGAAAAAGGAGTGCGTTTATGATCGACACTGGTGCTGAACATTCGGTGGTGACTAATCAAGTTGCTCCTCCATCTGGAAGAACTATTACTGTAATAGGAGCAACTGGAAGAAGTGCTGAAAAACCGGTTCTTAAAAGTCGACTCTGTACATTGGGAGGCCACGTAGTAAAACATCAATTCCTTTATATGCCTGAGTGTCCAGTCCAATTGCTGGGACGTGATATGCTATCCAAATTACAAGCGCAGATTACGTTCCTACCAAATGGAACAACATCCTTAAAGTTTAATGGACCCTCAGGTATTATGACATTGTCCGTACCAAAGGAAGAAGAGTGGCGACTTTATACAGTGTTGACTAGCCAAAACCCGAGGAGTGATGAATCCTTATTTAACATACCAGGAGTTTGGGCAGAGAACAACCCACCAGGACTGGCCCGCAATATTCCACCTATTAAAATCGAACTAAAACTTGGGGTTTATCCAGTAAGCCTGAGACAATATCATATTCCGCAGAAGGCTAAGAAGAACATCCAATCTTATCTGGATAAGTTCATACGGTATGGTATCCTAAAATTCTGTACTTCCCCCTGGAACACCCCATTGCTGCCTGTTCAAAAGCCCGGTACAGATGAGTATCGACCTGTGCAGGACTTGAGAGCAGTCAATGATGCGGTTGTTAGTATACATCCAGTCGTGCCCAATCCATATAACCTGCTTGCTTTAATTCCGGGCGGGGCTACTTACTTTACAGTCTTAGATCTCAAAGATGCCTTCTTTTGCCTCCGAATTGCCGCAGAAAGCCAATGTATCTTCGCTTTCCAATGGGAAAATGCTGTAACGGGCTCGAAACGCCAAATGACCTGGACAAGATTGCCCCAGGGGTTTAAAAATTCACCTACCCTATTTGGTTCAGCTCTAAGTCAAGATCTACTAGATTTCGAGTCTATCCCAGGAGAGTGTGTATTATTACAATATGTAGATGACTTGTTGATAGCAGCAGTTACAAAGGAAGTATGTCAGCAAGCAACGCACGATCTACTACACATTCTCTGGAAGGCAGGATACAAGGTGTCAAGAAGGAAGGCTCAGTTGTGTTTGCCAACTGTCAAATATCTGGGATTCCATATCTCTGAAGGTCAAAGAATTATGGGGCCAGAGAGAAAAGAAGCTGTGTGCCAAATACCGATACCCAGGAATAGAAGACAAGTGCGAGAATTCTTGGGGGCAGCAGGCTTCTGTAGGATATGGATTCCCAGCTACGCGATACTGGCAAAACCTCTGTATGCAGCTATCAAAGGTACAGAGCACGACCCCTTCTTATGGACTCAAGAACAGCAAACGGCATTCGAAGATGTGAAGAGGGCTTTGATGAGTGCCCCAGCATTAGGTCTACCTGACCACACACGGCCATTCTACCTGTATGTACATGAGCAAAGAAGAATGGCTGTGGGAGTATTGACACAGTACTTGGGATCATGGCAAAGACCTGTTGCCTACATGTCTAAGCAACTGGATGCAGTGGCCAGCGGACTTCCACCTTGTCTAAGAGCTGTAGCTGCAGCCGCCCTGCTAGTAGCTGAAGCCGATAAACTCACTCTGGGTCAAGAACTTTATGTACGAGTTCCACATGCAGTACAGACGTTGTTGGATTACAAAGGAAATCATTGGTTTAGTAACAGCCGTATGACCAAGTATCAAGCAATGTTGTGTGAAAACCCAAGAGTGCATTTAGAGACTGTAAATACCTTAAATCCAGCTACCCTTTTGCCACAGCCTACTGAAAGTCAACATGATTGTTTGGAAGTAATGGATGAAGTATTTTCAAGTAGACCAGATCTTCGTGATTTTCCCATCCAGAACCCTGATGTTCAATATTACACAGACGGCAGTAGTTATGTAAAAGAAGGGATCCGCTATGCAGGATATGCAGTAACAACGATAGACAAGGTGATAGAAGCTCGGCCACTGGCAAAAGGAACATCAGCACAAAAGGCAGAATTGATAGCACTGACACGAGCGTTACAATTGGCTGAAGGTTTAAGAGTGAACATCTACACGGACTCCAAGTATGCGTTTTTAACCACTCATGCCCGCGGAGCTTTGTATAAAGAAAGAGGACTATTGAATTCAGAAGGCAAAGAAATCAAATACGCAGCTGAGATCCTACAACTATTGGAAGCAGTGTGGGAGCCGAAAGAAGTCGGTATTATACATTGTCGGGCGCATCTGAGAGGAGATGGTGATGTAACCAAAGAGAATCGGATGGCAGATAGTGCAGCTAAGCGTGCTGCTGAATCAGGAAGACAGGAATATGTGGGGCATATAGCTGCTCTTATACCAACTCCACTGTCTCAATGGACTCCAATTTATACAGCTCAAGAAGAGGAGTGGTTAAGGACTGAACCTGGAAAGTATTTGGAGAACAAATGGTATCAGTTAGAAGATGGAAGAATAGTCATAGCGGTAGAAATTGTCCAAAACTATCATAACGGGACACATTCTGGGAGAGACAGTACAGAAGAATCTCTCAGAAAACATTTCTACATACCAAGATTGTCCAACTTGACTCAGGCCATTGTACGTAGATGTGTACGTGTGCTAAAAATAATGCAAGACAAGGACCAGTAAAGCAGGGTCCAGATGAATTGTCCAAATTGACATACTATGCATAACTGGGTGAGCACATACTCGTACAGAGAAAGCAGGAGAAGTCGTGAGATTCCTGCTACGAGAAATAATACCCCGATATGGACTACCCTGCTCTATAGGATCGGACAATGGTCCAGCTTTGTTCATCAGTGCCTACAACAACTGACTCATATGCTTGGTATAAAGTGGAGGCTTCATACGGCATATAGACCCCAGAGTTCTGGTAAGGTAGAGAGAATGAATAGAACTATTAAGAATCAGTTGGCTAAAATGTGTCAGGAAACCCAACTTAAGTGGAACGTTCTCTTGCCCATAGCTCTATTGCGAATCCGTGGTACACCTACCAGAAGGATGGGCCTCTCTCCTTTTGAAATCATGTACGGGCGACCACCTCCCGTGCTTGGTAACTTAAGGGGGGATTTGAGTCAGTTGGGAGAAGGAATTACCCGGCAGCAGGTTGTAGAGTTGGGTAAGACTATGGAGGAGGTACAGAAATGGGTACAAGATAGGTTACCTGTGAATATTTATCCCCCAATTCATAGTTACCACCCAGGCGACCAAGTGTGGATTAAAGAGTGGAATAATGTGCCGTTAGGGCCCAAGTGGAGAGGTCCTTATGTTGTTCTTCTGTCTACCCCTACAGCGATAAAAGTAGCCGAAGTGGCTCCGTGGATACATCACTCCAGGGTTAAACCAGCAGCAGCCGATTCCTGGCAAGTTACAGCAAATCCAGAGAATCCCTGCAAGATCCGGTTAAAACGCACGACTCAGTCGGAGTGACGAGGAACCTTGTAGATTACAAATTTTATTGTTTCAGAGACTTGGTAAGTGAGTGAGAAGGCCATAATAAAGCCTGTCCACTCACCAACGAGTGTATAAGTCAGGGAAAGTCTTGAGGGGACCCCTGTGAAGACGAGCAGAACTCCATTCCCTGCAGTCCTTACATCCTGGAAGCTGAGGTGCCTTCACACGGACGAAGACTGAGGATGACGACGAAAGATGTATTTTTAATAATGTTTATTTATGTGTATTTTTATATTCAGGAAGGTAGAGGTACCAACACTCCTAGCTGTGAGGTATGCATTAAGACTACAAGAACAGGTAACCATATATCCCAGACCCTAATTTGGCATTCGCAATATGAGTGTAAAGGAGATGTATCAAGATGTAGATACTTAAATATAGAATATAGTGTGTGTCATTTAGGAGTAGGAGAACCTAAGTGCTTCAGTCCTGAGTATCAACCCCGTACAATTTGGTTGACTCTCAGAAATGGAGATTCTCAGGGGACCCTAATTAATAAGACGGTATTAAAATCCGTATATTCTTCAGATGCTCTGCTATTTGATGCGTGTTAAGCAATATCAAGTGGTAGAAAGCCGTGGAATGTATGTGGGGATCTTAGATGGGAGAGGACGTATGGGTCTAACGATAAATATATTTGTCCCAGTAGTAAAAATAAATATGTAAGTCCAAGATGCCCAAATAGAGATTATAACTTCTGCCCATATTGGTCTTGTGTGGGGTGGGCGACTTGGGGACAGACAGCAGACAAGGACATGATTGTGACTAAGTTGCCTACTAATCCATATTGTAAGTCTATGGAATGCAATCCAATCCATATACTTATAAATAACCCTGACAAGTTCTTAGATAAATATGGTAATTTATTTGGGTTTCAAATATATGGGACGGGTTTAGACCCTGGGACAATATTGTTTATAGGGATAGAGACTGATACGGTAACCTCCCAAACTCATCAAGTATACCATTCCTTTTATGAAGAGATGAGCATAGATAATAAGATCCCCCATAATGCTAAAAACTTGTTCATTGATTTAGCCGAGAGTATTGCCGGTAGTCTTAATGTTACCAACTGCTATGTGTGTGGAGGTACTAACATGGGAGACCAATGGCCTTGGGAAGCAAAGGAGGTAATGTCCGGTTCTGAGGCAGTTGACCAATTAATATCTACACAAGCCGACTATCATATGAGTGTTAGAGGTAAATCTGAGTGGAGATTGAAGACCTCCATCATAGGTTATGTTTGCATAGCGAGGAAAGGAATGATGTATAATACTTCTGTAGGAGAATTAACTTGTCTAGGGCAAAAAGCTTATGATGATGATACAAAGAATACAACTTGGTGGTCGGCTTCAAATGTCTCAGAACCATCTAACCCGTTTGCAAGATATGCCAATTTAAAGGACGTATGGTTTGATCTATCCATCACATCTAACTGGAGAGCCCCAGCGAATTTGTACTGGATCTGTGGTAAGAAGGCCTATTCGGAGTTACCACAGGACTGGGAAGGGGCATGTGTGTTGGGTATGTTAAAACCATCCTTCTTCTTGTTGCCTATTGAAACAGGTGAGACTTTAGGTGTTAAAGTGTATGATGTGAATCATAGGAAGAAAAGGGGACCCATAGAGATAGGTGCCTGGGAAGATAATGAATGGCCTCCCCAGCGTATTATAGATTATTATGGGCCAGCCACGTGGGCAGAGGATGGTACCTTTGGTTATAGAACCCCTATTTATATGCTCAACCGCATTATAAGGTTACAGGCGGTGGTTGAGATCATTACTAACGAGACATCACAAGCGCTCAATCTTCTAGCGAAGCATAATACCAGGATGAGGACAGCAGTTTACCAAAATAGATTAGCCTTGGATTATCTTTTGGCAGTAGAGGGAGGTGTATGTGGGAAGTTTAACCTGAGCAATTGCTGTCTTCAAATAGATGACGAAGGGCAAGCAATAGCTGAGCTTACTAGCCATATGGTTAAACTAGCGCATGTGCCTACTCAGGTATGGAAAGGGTACAATCCAAGTAGTTGGTTTGGTAGCTGGTATGAGTGGTTTGGAGGGCTTAAGGCAGTGGTAGGTGGAGTCCTACTGATTTTAATGTTGTGTCTACTCCTGCCGTGTCTTATACCCTTAGTAGTTAGGTCTGTGCAAAGCCTGATAGAAAATATAGCAGAGAGGAAGGCTGCTGCACAGATAATGGCAATTTATAAATATAAGGCTCTAGATCAGGGAGAACCAATGCAGGAAGACGAGTGTTGAAGATTCACATCGTAGGATAAGTCTGGTCTGGTTCAAAGGTAACTTGTGGTGTATGCAAACCAAGGTTAAGTGATGCCTCAAGTAATTGTAAAATATCAAGAGGCATCAAAGGGGGGAATGTGGTGGAATCTCGGTAAAAATAAATTTAGTAGGCCGAGATTACCACGTGGCATGTGTACGTGCATATGCTGACGTATCGATCAGTTGGTTGCACGAGGCAAGATACGATCAGTAGTGTACGGAGCATGTGCAAGAATACAGGATGTAGTATTCCCCTCCTCCATTGTGCTGGACAAGCCATGCGGTCAAGCAGGAAGTTAATTCTTATTTGTAATGATTGGTCAAGAGAATGTGCGGGTGGAGCTTAATATGGGAGGAGTTATGTGCCTATATAGGGAGCCTGCACTATTGTTCAGGGCTCAGAACTTGCTGTATTTTTGGTGACATTAGTCCCTCTGAGTCCCGATCGGTGATCCAATAAAGAATCTCTTCCTTCCTGAAGAAACCTGTGTCCATCCCTCTGTGCTTTGCTTCCGTCAGTTTCTCCGGTATCAGTATCAGTTGGTTCAATCTACATACACTGAAGTAGGATGGTTTCTGTAAACTTGAAGGGAACAGAAATGAACAAAAAAATGTGCAATATTGTCACGTGCGTGGGCTATAGGCCCAGCCGAGACACTGGGGAGAGTGTGGAAGTGACAGGGTTAATGACACCAGACCCCTGGTTACCTGTTGCTAGTCCCAGCAACCACTCAATTAACCCCTGCAATCCCTTCTACACTATCTCCCTTAGTACTACTGCCACCACCAAGACTTTTAAACCAGGGCGTCTTAGGTTACCCCACACACAGGAGAATTATAGTATCACAGTTCTACTTTTACTGATAAAACATATATAGTTAACCCCTTTTTGGTAACGTGTTTACCTGAGCTTTCCTCTGGAGAGTGAAGCTCATAGAGAACAGAGACACAAGCTGATTAAGTAAACATTTAATCTGACAAAAAGGATTCACAGTGCTGAGTACAAAATACAGAAATAAATGACATACAGATAACAAATTGCAAAACAGTACATAAAATAAAATAGGAGAAAACACAAGAAATTCCTTACATATATTTACCCCATATAGAATTCTTGTGGGAGTCTTAGATGGTATAGGTCTCCTAGAAGTTACTGACAAAAGAAAAATGAATAACTGACCTCCCTGGATAGTCCAACACCCTCATATATCTAAACTAGTTGTTTCTCAGTGGGCAGACCCCTGGGGGGGATCAGAGGGGGCTGGTCTGGCAGTCTATTGCCCACTCTATGAAATTCCTTGTGTCCAGCTCTGGTGATGGCTATCTAGATGTTTTCTGGTCTAGGCCTGGTGCAAGATCAAAGACCACAATAAATGTCATCCCAAGGTTTACAAAAAAACTACTCTTAACATATATAAACACACATCAAACACCAACTCATGCTTTTGGCATGACAAATATGTAACACTTATTTAAACTATCTGAGGTAGAAAATATAGTGAGCAAAGTCACAATAGATAGAGCTGCTAAGGGCTCTGCTGTAATGTGCCTGGATGGTACAGTCCCCGTCTATGGATATTTGTAGCTTTGCTTGGTAGTTCTTTCCATCCAGTATATATGAGAAAACACAATAGAAAGGTCTTATGGTATAGTATATAGTATATACACAAAGTAAAGGATAAAAAGCGGTATCCTACTTACAATATGCAGAGCAATGGCCTGCTCTGGTATGAAGAGTGTTGGTGGTATTATCCCTACCTAGGATATGCAGGATACACCAGGAGATGATGACAGGAATATGATGATAAAAAAAAAAAAATGGTAATAAAATAGAAATATACCTTATATATATATATATATATATATATATATATAGACAGAGAGAGAGAGAGAGAGAGAGAGAGAGAGAGAAAGAGTATATAGGGAGTAAATTCTTCCAGTACCAAAACTTTACGCGTTTCACACGGCTGGGCTTCCTCAGCCCTGGTTTATATGTGGTATCTATCTTTAAGGGGATATTATCCACTAAAGCCTTAAGGACTGAGCAATACTTGAATTTCCCAGAAATATGTAAGGAGTATTCTTTTCTACACTACACATTTTCATCTACAGAGCACTATATTTGTTTTTTATTTTGCATGATACAGTTGACTACATCTGGTTGAAAAATATTCCATAGTGGGGATTGTACCACTACATGTTGATCTATTGGAGCCATTCAAATCTCTGAACCTAGTGAGTGCATAAGCTTTATACTTATATTCCTACCCAAAGCTACATTACATACTACACTATATATGTTCCTGTGATCTACTCTGTGCTACATATCTTGTTGAGAACCCATAATGGTTGTAAGATAGCCTACACATATCTTAAGGTGGTGATTGTTCCATCCAAGCTCAATATCAGTCCAAGTTCAATATCCTAGAGCTGGTTTAAACCCAATGTAAGTGTCTCCCCACACATACTGCTGTCTATATATTTAGATATAGTCCACCACTGGATTTTTTCTGATTTTGTTTTCCATATTTTTCCATTGGATGTGAAACTACCTACTCACTGTTAATAACTGTTACTACTTCAGCCAAGAAGAGAGAGAACCATGTAAGGGCTGTTTCAGCACATGATCTTTCTGTTTTTATTACTATAAAACTAAATATACACCTGCCAAGTCGTGCCATGACATGAGTATGGACATATCTGCTAAACAGTACGAGGCCAGACGAGCACCTTGGCAAATTTTGCTGCCCTGTTACTAGTAACATAAATCCCCCATGATACTAATTTAAAGAATTAGGAGTGGACAGGTCACTGTCAACGTCCAAGCCCCCATTATGGGACTAATACATTTTTAAAAAAATGATAATAAATAGACAAATAAAGGGGAAGACATAATGTCCTCTGAGTGCACCCAGGGTAAGACTCTATATACACATAATGCAGAGGTGACATAGTGTCCCTCCATGCCACCATGTTTTGGCATTGGGTGAAGGCTTAAAAATAATTAAATAATAGGAGTTGGAGATATCACTGGTGGGGCTATAATTAAACAGTCATTTTTAAACAGGGGGACGGGAACTAGTATACATGGGAGACAGGTGGGCTCTTTACATATATACTAATTGTCCACTTCCCTTCCTCCAAAAAAACCCCAAAATTATCTGTCCACCTCCCAGGTGGCAAGTGGTTCCCATGCCGCATAGACACTACATCTACACCCTCACCTTAATAATAGGGAGTGCTGAC